ATATATATATATATATATATATATATTCTCAGGGGTATTTATTTACGTTCTTCTAAAATCCATTACACAAAGGGCATCATGGGTTCGTTTCTCTCGACGTTGATGAACTGCCGGAACTCCATAACAATAACGCCGCACCCGTTCATGGATCAAAGCCGTGACCCGCAGATGGTGACAGTGCCTGGCACAGAGACAGAAACGACGACCGCCGTTTACCGTCAGACCTCGACCAGTGACGAGGCGACGTACCAAAAACTTGTGAAGGAGTACGCCACCAACAAGAACTGCGTGCAGGTGATGGAGGAGCGGTGCAGGCTGATGGGCGCACGCCCCGCCCTCGCGTACCGCTCCATTACAAAAATAGAGAAGAGGCAGGTGCCCGACTCAGATGGGACTCAACGTACACTCGACTACTACCACTTCAGCGAACGTTGCGAGGTGTCGTACGCGGAGATGTGGCGCTACATAATATCCTTTGGATCAGGGCTGCGGGAGCTCGGATTGGCGGAGCGAAGTCCCATCACCATCTACGAAGAGACCCGTTGGGAGTGGATCATATCGATATTTGGCATCTGGACCCACAACATGTTGGCCACGACGGTATACGCCAACCTTGGTGAAGATGCGCTCGCGTACGCCCTCCTCGAGACGCAATCCGCAGCTATTATTTGTAGCGGACGGGTGCTCAATACACTGATCCCGCTACTGCAGGATCAAAAACTGAACCCAATCATCATATATCTCGATAGCACCCCGGCCGGTATTGACACAGAGGGATTCCGCGTAGTGGCATGGAATGACGTGGTGAAACGTGGCGAGGCGGCTAAATGTCCCGCGAACATTCCCACTGACAACGACTTAGAGGGCCTCGTCATGTACACGAGCGGTACTACGGGGAATCCAAAGGGTGTTGTGCACTCACATGGTTCTGTTGTTGCGGGCATTAGGGCCCTTGATCATCGTCTGAGCGACATCTACACGATCAATGCCGAGGATGAGGTCTACTGTGCCTATCTGCCTCTTGCGCATATTCTCGAATTTGGCATTGTGAACCTCTTCCTGATGCGAGGCAGCATGGTGGGCTTTGGCAACCCCCGCACCCTCACCGATGACCACGCTGTCCCACACGGTGACTTCCAGGAGTACAAACCAATGATTATTATTGGCGTACCGCGCATATTTGATACCATTAAGAAGGGTGTGGAGAAAAAATTGCCACCGCCAGGTTCGGTCAAACGGAGCGTGTTTGATAAGGCATACAACACCCGCCTGGACGCCATCATGAACGGCAAGGAAACGCCCTACTGGAACAGAGTTGTGTTTAAGGATGGCCGCCAGGCAATTGGCGGACGGATCTACTCCATGCTCTCAGGCGGTGGGCCGCTCAGTAAGGAGACACAGCAGTTCGTTGACGTCTGTTTTGGTGGTCCGATTCTGATTCAGGGCTGGGGCCTCACTGAGACCGTCTGCTGTGGCACAACGCAGCGTCTCTCCTACATTGAAATGGACGACGTGGGCCAACCGCTCGCATCAGCAGAGCTGCGACTCCTTGACGTGGAGGGGTACAAGCACACCGATAAGCCGGAACCGCGTGGTGAGATTTTGATCCGTGGCCCATTCCTCTTCAAGGGATACTACAAGCAAGAGCAGCTCACACGCGATGCCATTGACGCCGATGGGTGGTTTCACACGGGAGATGTTGGCAGCATAGGGCCCAACGGTACACTACGCGTCATTGGCCGTGTAAAGGCATTGGCAAAGAATGTGCTGGGCGAGTACATTGCCATGGAGGCGTTGGAGTCGATCTATGGCCAGAACAGCTTGTGTACTGTTTGTGGTGTCTGTGTGCTTGTGCATCCTGCCCGTACGTATGTCACTGCTCTGGTTCTTACGGGATCCACTCAAGCACTCGAATTCGCAAAAGATCACGGCATTGATGGGACCTATGAGGAGTTGTTGCAGAATCCAACATTCCATGCGAAGGCGGCAGAGTCGTTGGCGGAAACTGCTAAACGCGCTGGGCGCAAGCCGTTTGAATTGGTTAAGGCCGTCCGCGTTTTGGATGACGTGTGGACGCCAGAGAATGGCCTGGCGACGCCCACTGCGAAACTACGCCGCTCCAAGATTGAGGAACACTATGCTGATGTGATTACGGAGTTGTTTGCAAAGCAGTGATAGCGAATAGATGGGAGTATACTGCCTGGCTAGCTGTTTTCAGCAAGCGCTATCCATTTTCGTTTTTTATTTCATTTTAAAATTACCCGTTGTGTTTTCTGCATTTATTTTATTTTTCTACAGAGCGGTGCAATTGACATACGGCCAAATGACGTGCGTGACTTTTCTGTGCGGCTGGCCGTTGTGTGTGTGTGTGTGTGTG